CTTGTGTTTTTCTTTTCTTCATTAAATTCATATTAACTGTAAATATTTTGTGTTTCTAAATGTTTATGACTATTTTTTAAATGAAAACGAATGAAAGGAATATTGAATCCTCGAGAAAAGGGCGCTAGGTCTGACACAAATCAAAGTTCCGCCACTGATTAGGTTGATATTTTACATTATTTTAATAATTTTTTTTCCTGAAAGCTCACTGCCACTTTTAACAGCCCTAAACTAAAACGTTCACACTCTAGCCAAAGACTGTGAGCTGTTCTGTGGTAGGTTTGATTTTTGAATTAGACAAACAGGTATTTGAATCAAGAATCAACCAATGCAAACGTCAATAATTTTTTAGTTGGCTGCAATTGCACACCTATTTCACATCATTTGTGTTTCAATTACTTGAAAGATTGCAATTGATAGATTACTCCAGGGAAATAAGGTAAAAATAAAGGCCATCTGCGGAATGAGGCCAAACAAGCTGAATTTTTGCAGAGACCTTCGTTTGTTTCAATGAAGCACAGAAAAATCTCATATGCCTACCCTCGTGCGTCTTAAGATATCGAAGGTCAAATGTCATGAAAATCGGTTTTTCGCGAAAATCTCGCTTCCAGTGCATCCGACGTCATAAGAACCCATAACAAAACTTACGTAAAATAGTATTCTCTACAAAATTGTTCATATACATTTTTTTCGTACGACCAGCCGTTTGAGAAACATTCCGATTTGACTCACTCGGCTCAAATATTTCAAGCAGAAAACTGCCTGCCAGATACAGTATTTCAGAACGGAAAGCGTTTTCTGTTAGCTATGTATGGTGCTCCAAAAGATGAGGTGAACCTTGACAAATTTAGATACACCCAATTCATTAAGGCTACACGACTTAATAGACCTGTTAAATTGTCATCCCTTCCACCTACCAGTGAAGCAACTCGACAGCATATTTATCGGGTCTACTACCAAGTACAGATTTGGCTAGGGAAAAATCTACAACCCGAAGAATGGAGTTGGGATTTAAAAAACGACATATTATAGCCGAAAACAACACTACTGCCACCTGCCCCAGACGAACTATTAAATACAATATTCTGTAATTGTAAAAAAGGGTGTGGTGCGCAGTGCGGGTGTAGAAAAGTCGGGCTGCCATGCTCCAAAGTTTGTGGTCAGTGTCACGGACAGGCATGCCTGAACCCGTCAACAGAGTTGCAAAACATCGAAGACTTCAGTGACCTTGAGCCTGAAGAGGTTTTGCCAACAGACATAGAGCCAACAGATATAGAGGAAGCGTCTGACGAAGATATTGTGTTGATCGCGGTGCTAGTGGAACCCGACGAAGACGAAGAGGAAGGCAAGGAAACATAAGGCGTGGTGTGGAAAAGAATGTATTTTTTGTTATTAATTATTTATTATATATTTTTTTATAAATAAACAAATTTTTAACGGCTTTAATAATGGAAATTTAATTTTCCAGTCTAACAGATTAAGAAAAGTGCTTTTATATTTATAGCTCTGCAGTATAATACAGTATTACCTCTTACGAATGCACGCTCCCGCTTTATCATGCTATATCTCGAAAACAGTTGGTCGTACGAAAAAAATGTATCTGAACAATTTTGTAGAGAATACCATTTTACGTAAGTTTTGTTACGGGTTCTTATGACGTCAGATGCACTGGAAGCGAGATTTTCGCGAAAGACCGATTTTCATGACCTTTGACCTTCAATATCTCAAGACGCACAAGGGTAGGCATATGAGATTTTTTTGTGTTTCATTAGAACATAAAAACGAAGGTCTCTGGAAAAATTCAGCTTGTTCGGCCTCATTCCGCAGAGGAAGTTTTATTTCTCTGGAGTAGATGCTATTTATCAGTAGGGTCACAATAATACCAATCAAAATCAATATTGTTAATAATGTCAATATCGATCTTGAATCAATTTTAATATTGAATAGTTTTCAACTGTCACGAGAGTAACCATTGGCTTATTTTGAAAATAAAATTAAAAAAGCGAGACCCTCAATAACGCTATGGTCCGTACATTCCATATTGAAGAGCACATTTATTAAATGTTAAGGAAAATATAAATATAACAAAAATTTTCAAAATTGACACCATATGTAAAAAATAAATCTGTTGGATATCGTTCAAAAAAAGTCGAGGATCTTGTTAAAAAAAAGACATTTATACAATCTTAATCTATACAAGCCGGACGTTTCCGCTGCGATTAACAAGGTTTTGTTAAATTGCATACTCGACCAGGTTATTTTCAAATGCAAATTTGACCCAGTTGTCTAATTACGAAAATAAATCTGTTAAAATGTTATTTGAATTTTCTTGATTTATTTATATTTCAGGGACAAAACTGATACCTAAACAAATTAGCAAAAAACTAAATTAAAACTGATTAAAGAAACAAGGTGATACTAAACCTTATAAACGAATCTGCAAAATTACAATATTACAACAAATTTGGGGTCCTATATACCATTTAAAACTAGATGATTACTAATTACGAAAAGACCAATTTATTGCGTTTACCTGTCGCTACACAACAGAGTAAATACATATCAAAAAGAAAAAGCAATAAATATATAATAAATGAGGAGGGTTATAGGAAGTCACATGATACAGGCTGTCCATTTCATCAGGGTCGGCAAGAATATCTTGCTTAATACCAATCATACCGAAATAAAAACATCTTTTTTTCATGAGCTGCAACATGGCTCAAGAACATTTAATCAATGGCCTACACAAGTTACGAGTATATCGGAAACAATTGAAAATCCGGAATATTTCCAAGGTGAATACCTTCACCATTTGAGGAGACACTGAAAAACTATTTAAACTCTATTCGCTTAAACTTTGCAGTGTAGGGTTGGACTTAAGTGAGTGAAACGTCCAACTACGACCGACCACGCTTATGAAATAAAATAAACATGAAAATTGAAAATGTATCGCTATAGGAATTTTGCATTTGTGTACACATCTGCCTGCCGTTTGCACCAAGAATCAGCGCGTATTTTGTTCTCTATCCTGGCTAACACTGCAAAGTTTAAGTGAACAGAATATAAATGTTTAATGGTGTTCTATTTAAATGTACAGGGTTATCCAACGAAAATACTCATCCCTATATTTTGTATATTTTTCGAATTAGAAAATAATTTTTCAAATAAATTTTGTAGTGAAACAAATGAACTCTTTTAGAATGTCTGCAAAGAATGTACAGGTGATTCCATAAAAACGGGACAAACCATATTTACATTTTTTTTAAATGGAATATATTTTTTACATATTTTAAAGTCTATGTTCTTTTGTGATTTCAGATATATAGATATGTTGTATGTTATCTTTTACTGTTTTTTATTTATTGCAAATTTTATACTACCACTTAATTTGACACTCGTGCCTTACAGAATAATTTAATAAATTTAAAAAACAAACTGCGCAATAATTATTATTATAAATATTATACATACCATATCAAATAAAATGTTAGCCGTTGAAGAGTTCTTGTTATTTCTTATAAATAGTGAATATATCGTATTACTCTGATAAAGTAAACGTTTTCACAAATAATATGACACATAAAACCATGCAGTTTGCTTTTTGAATTTATTAAATTATTTTGTAGGCATACATATCACATTTATTGTTTTTCATCCATGGCTAACCTGATAACCATGCAGATGCTGGTAGTATAAAATTTGCAATAAATAAAAAACGGTAAAAGATAAGATAGAACATATCTGTATATTTGAAATCACAAAAAAAAAACACAGATTTTAAAAATGAAAAAAGATATAGGGTTTTTCATTTAAAAAAAATGTAACTCAGGTTTGTCCCGGTTTTATGGGACCACCTGTACATTCTTTGCAGGGATTTTAAAAGAGTTCATTTGATTCACTACAGCTTTTATTTAAAACTATTTTTTCTAACTCTAAATAAAAAAATACAGGCGTGGGCCTTTTCGTTGGATAACCCTGTACACGAAATGTTGAATTTTTAGATTTATTCTTCAGATATTAAAAAAAATTAAACAAATTTAGCGGGAAATAACAATTAAATCGGATTTTAGAAAAATAGTTTGTAAAATCTTTAAATAATTTTAGACCCATCATACATACCATGCATGGAAAACGTGGTGAAACTGAATTATTTAAACGAAAATAAAAATAAAATTTAAGTTTTGTTTAATCCGGACAATAAATCTTTTATGGGTTACTTATTGCTATTGTCATTCATGAAGCACATTTATTAGGTTTTGAGTTACCTTTACATCAATCTAGATATGAAAAAACTTTTACAAACAATAGAATAAAATCTTTAACAGTTCAGCGCATTTAATATTTTCATTCATTCATTTGGAGAGTATATTAAGACGGCCGATTGAACATACTTCGTTTAATAACAAAAATTATTCATTTCCTAAAACTTTTATATAAACCACATAACATCAAAGATATCAATAGAGAAACGTCTTCACCGTCTCCCTTTTTACATATCATATATGACACGTAGTATGGCAGTACTTTTTCTCTCCCGAATGACATGACTGACACCCAAATAATTCTGCAGACCTAGATTTAAATATAGATCATAACAGTTTCGGCTATGCTAGAACAAATACCTCGTCGCAGTCATAGTATACAATTTTAAATGAAAATTTTGTTTCTTAACTCTAGACATAAAGAGTAATATTAAAAACAGTGACATAAACATAGTTCAGTCACACAGACATGGAGAAGTAAACATTTCAATAATTTAAATATTAATTATCAATTAGTTTTGATTTGTATGCTGTCACATTTAACAGGTTTCAGTCTACCAGCAGCCACTAGGTATTCCCTTATATTAAATTAAACACACAGGTAATACTACAACCCCCTATATCCTTGAAGGTAGCTAATTGAACCTTGTGTGGGAGAGGGCTACACATTTAGAGACAATGGACACACATCCAATGTCCGAGTATGCTAGGGTTAATTTCTGATTTAGAAAAAATCCTAGCTCCTCAACCGGGGATCGAACCCGGGACTACAGAGTGAAAGGCAAGTGTCCTTACCACTCGACCGAGAAGCAACACATAAATGCGCGCTTTGCTGTGACTTGAATTTAACTATCTATGTATCATTTCCTATACACTTAACTTTGTATGGATCAAAGTATTTAGTCGAAAGTTTTCTACTAGAACTGGTACTAAGTGATTCCCTTCGCCTTAACACTAATTCACCTTCCTTAACCTGGTACGCTTCTTTTCTTTTCTCGTCATATTTTATCTTTCATTTTTCATTCAATTCTATCACTTCAGATTTTAATGGATTCTCATATTCTCATTCAAATGATATTTGAAGACATCATGCTTGAGTACTTTTCGTAACACTGTGCTTGTTTGTATTTATTGCCCATTGAACCTCAACAACTTCCACGCGCTAATCATCTCTATCAACGGTTGATGTACTCGCTGCCAAGCACGAAATAATACATTAATACGCCCTACTTGACCATTACAACGTGGTGAATCCGGGGCTATCCTTACGTGTTGATATCCATGTTTCACATATCTTTTCGAACAAGCTTGAAGTTAACGCAGTATCTCCGTCACAGAGCTGTCAGGTACTCAATTAAAAGATGAATAGTAATTTAATTATTTTTAAGTAATTAAATTACTTTAATTCAATTACTTTTTTGGACGCCTTAAAATTAATTGGTATTTGAATTACTTTTGTAAAAGTAATTGTAGTTGGTAATTGTTTTATTGTTTTTGGTAATTGAAGTACTGAACAAATAATCAATTCCTTTTGGGTAATTCAATTCCTTTCAGATACTTTAATTACTTTAAAATAAGTGAAATTGTATCGTAAAAATATTCGCCTGAGAAAAATCGCAACAGCGTTTCGGCTTTAATAACTTGTCTGACGCTTGTCGTTTCACAGCATTTTTTTCACGTTAGTCTAACGTCGCACACTTTACATAACAACGCACAACCTGTTTCTGAAGACGCGAACGGCCTCGCCATTTTTTACGTCCACTAACGCACTACACTAAATAGAAAATATCGAATAAATAATGCCTTTATACTCACCGTATACACAACAGATCTCTAGATTGATTCTTGAACCACACAAAACTGCTAAATGATGTAAACAAAATAATCCTCTCCGACAGAATACAAGGTCAATATGGCAGGCAGACAATGCGGCGGCTAGTCGCTTAACAACCTTGCTTTGTTTACGGATCAAAGCGTATACGCAGTAAAGCGATATTAGCCCTGACCTATATAATAACATCTTGGTAGTCGATGACCAATCATCGGCCGTTTTTACATGCAAAAAGATGAATTAATCTTTTTAAAATTCTTTTACATTAGTACTTTACACGTTTGTAGGTGCACTGTCAGCAATTACAATTTATTTTATTACTATTGTATTACGGATTTGTCGGAATAAACTATTAGGATTAATATCCGTCTCTGGGATGGCATCCAAATTCCCTATTTATACTGTTCTATACTTTTTTTGAGAATTCTTCAGCAGGTACAAACGGTCTCAGATGATCAATATGGACACACTGAAATGGTGTCTTACCTTTGTCAAAGGATGTAAGAATGCTTGTTGTTTTCCTCTAGGTGTTTTACAAAATAGACAATTAATGCACCGTAAAATAAATTATGATGCACTTTATTTCATCTTCGGAAAATAATAATTTTCTTCTTCTGTCTCACTACACTACAGCTACCCAGTCTGTAGTAATTACTAACGATAATGATTCGTAAGCTTGCTATGACGAGTTTCTTCTGATTCTGCGGCGGGGTTTCTGCTTAGAGCATCTAGATACCATATTGCTAAGCCTTCTTGACTGATGGAATAATTGGACTCGGAAAGTCGTACAAATCAAGGGACTAGCAATCCTGGGGCTAAATCTCTTTTATTCGCTAACATCTTTTAGTCTAAACAATAGCGTGCTAGCTCGACGACGAAAAGTTACCGTCTGCCAGTCGGTAATCAAAGGACCATATGAGTACCATACTTTTTTCTCTTTGAAATTTTTGGTAAGGCCGCACAGTTACGGAAGGGGGGAAACTGTTTCTGATTTTTCGAACTGGTTACCGATATTTGTCTAACGCACTAGTTAGTTAATATATGTATTACATAACCCCAATTACGCACCGCAAACAAAACTTCCGGTCGCGCGGTAACCGGTAATTGAAAAAAAAATTAGTTACCGGACCAAAACCATACCCTCCAAAATGTTTGATATGGTGTGTACAGACTGTACAATACGTGGCTAGACGATTTCTACTGTGGTTGGTTTTTGATCAATACCATAAAAAGCCTGGCAAAAAATTGATAAAAATTTGAAATGTTGATAAAAAAAAGTTAAAATTTAAGACGTGCCCAGCAAAAAGATGAATTAAGCCTATAAACCTCTAGCATGTACTACACGTTTGTAGAAATTTAACCCCAATACAATTTATTTTATTACTATTGTATTACGGATTTGTCGGAATAAACTATTAGGATGAAATTGGCTGGGATGTCATCCAAATGTCCTATTAACTGGTACTATACTTTTTTCTTAAGAACGTTACAACGGTGATGTAGTCATTTTTATGGACACACGTGTAAATGGCATTACTTTTCAAAATAAAAATGCTTGTAGGTCCAGGTGTTGGGAGAGAGTCCATAATAATTGCACCGTAAATGAAGGAGGCTACAAGGAGGTTTCTTACATCTTCGGAATATACATGGCATTCTATTTCAAAAAATGTTAGTTCCCTGTAGAATCGTCTTGACCCACCTTGTATATTCGTAAAATAATTTCCGGTTATAGAGCTTTTTGGTCTGGTATATTTATGTTTTGATGAATAATTGAACTCGGAAAGTCGTACAAATCACCTACCAATTTAGAGCTCGAAATCTCTTGAATTCGGACGCACTTTAGCCTAAACAAGAGCTGATTTGAAAACTCGACGATGAAACACAGAAATCATTGAAATCAAAAAGAAAATAAAATTTGCATATCATTGTTCCATCCCAATTTTGAAATTTAAGGTATGGCCGCGATACGGAAGGGGGAACATTTCTTTAAGAAGGTTGAAAATAAGTTGAAGGTATTTTGTATATGTACTCCACACACTTAATTACGCTGGCAACGAATCGGTCAAGATAACCAGAAGCTGAAATTCGAATTTCTACTGTATAACCTATCGCAAAATGTTTGATTTGGTATGTACAGTACTGTACTATAGTGGCAGAAATTTCTATTGGTCGGTTTTTTAGTAACTTGCCATCTAAGGCAAGAGGTTGATAAGGGATTTAAATTTGGCAAAAATGTCTGCCAGCCGAGGTTAGGGGTTTTTGGTGCCTTGTGAACCATAAGCTGGTTAGGCAGACGTTTTTTTTTAATTTCAACTATTTTTTATCAACATTTCAAAAATTTTGATCAATTTTTCGCCACTTTGATAGCAAATTGGTCAAAAACCGACCGATAGAAATGCCTGCAATTATGGTACCGTACTGTACACATCAAATCAAACATTTTGCGCTAGGTTTTGGTCCAGTAACTAAAATTTTTTTTTCAATTTCCAGTTACCGTGCGCCGACCGGAAGTTTTGTCTGCCAGCGTAATTGGAATATGTGGAGTACTTATACTAACTACCTATGTGAACAAATATCGGTAACCATTCGAACAAAAAAAAAGTTCCACCCTCCGCCATACCAAAAATTTCAAAGAGAAAAAAATATGGTATTCATATGGTCTCTTTGATTACCGACTGGTAGACGGTAATATTTCATCGTCGAATTTGCACGTTATTGTTTAGACTATATACACTATTACAATCATTATAAATTTAATATCTATCAAGTAAACGCTGGATCGTTTCAAACTACAAATAATGGCAAGAGCCTCAACCTCATAAGCATGACATCTAGATTCATTCTTGGTAGTCTTTCGACCAAAATAAGAAATAGGATGCAACAAACCATATTTCTGAACTTGATAAAGCACACCTGAAATTCCCTTGGAACTTGCTTCTGCGTGTATTTCTGTAATTGAGTTGGGGTCAAACACAGACAATATCGGTTTCTTAGTTACTTTATCTTTTTTGTTTCACAAAAGGTACGTTCTTGTTTTTCAGTCCAAACTTGACATTCTTACATAACAAATCGCTCAATGGTTTCCCAAAGATTCAAAATATCTTATAAAACGACAAAAGTAACTCGCTAACCCAACGAAACTTAACGCCTTCTCATCAATCGGAGTAGGAAAATCGGACAAACTTTTAACTTTCTTTGGATCAGGTTGAATTCCATTCTGTGAAATCTCAAACTTTAAATTTGCAATTTTCTCCATAGAGGCTTCTTTGAAGGTTAAACTACCCTCACGTAAAGCTCAAAAATTAATCTTAATTTGTCTATACCTTCTTTGACAGACCTTGACGGCAATAATAAGGCATCCAGGAAAACCATTGCTACATCAAGGGGAAGTGATGTTATAACAGTATTTATTCTGTTAAAGTGATAGTGCCAATCTGTAGTGATAAAAGCTGTTTTCTCCTTCACTTTATCAGTTAATGAAACTTGATAATATCCACTACGCAAATTGATAATACAAAAGTAACATTTATCTTTCAAACGAACAAGCTAGTCTCAATCAATGGTAAAGGCTAATAATGGTCCTCATCAGTTATCTTGTCCAGGGCTCTATAATCAATGCATAGCATCACATCGCTTGTTTTTTTCTTTACCAGAAGAATTGGACCTGCAAATGGTGACTATATCTTCTATTATACGGTGTTTTTATATCAACAATATTCTTTATTTTTCACGTTCACTATATGAATATCTGTATGGACGATAGTAAACAGGAACATCTGAAATTCATTCAACAGGTTTTCAAGTTTTTCAAAATTTTCATGTTGAAGTTCAGTATTGATTTTATCCTTCGTTATTAGTTCTTCTTTAATTTAGTTTTTTTCCCGATTCCCCCAAAAACCCCCCCCCCCCCGGGCTCCCCCCTCCCTTTTCCCCCCCCCCTTTTTTTTTAAAAAAAAATTTTTTTTTTTTTTTTTTTTTTT